AAGGTACGTCCGTCGCATATCAAGCGTTTTTAAACTTTTAAGTCTGCTGTACGGCCAAGGACGGGATGTACGGTACAGCAGGGTGGTGACGGGGAGTTGCGAACCCGCGACCTGCAGATTGAGAGTCGAGCGCCCTAACCACCTGGCCATACCGGGCCCAACCCTATAGATACCTTATTTCGTATTTTTTTATGATAAATTATAGTCTAAAGTACTACATTTTATAATATATAAAATACCTTATTATGGCTTTGTAATAAACTCAAATGTATGGTTTAATTTTTCGGTTTAAATAAATTACTGGTTCCTTGCGTAAAGATGCGCAAAAAGTTGTAAAACCGGTTAACTTCTAGCGCCCGCTAAAGAGACAATTACGATACTGATGCATAATGGGCTGATTGTACTCAGTAAAACTACCCTATTTTCTAGCAAGAACGCGGCAATAAGAACTATTTGAAGATATTTGATTATAGAAGGCAAGCGACTTTACAGAAAAAATAACACCGATAAGAGAACTAGTAATTTCGAACCGCGAAAACATTTGGGTTTAGTAATGTCAGTCAACGCACATCACAAACAAAGATTAGACTGCTGCTTTATTTAGACCATGATCTAAGAGGTTTGGAAACACATACGAACCATAATGTTTATATATATATATTTAGGTATCGCTCTGTCCCTTTAGAAATTAATAAGGTTGGTCAGAGTTTATGGTGATTTGTTATTTCTAAATCCTTGAATATTATTTTACAAGTGGTGTAGGAAGGAGATGCAAAGTAGGGGTGCTTAACTAGACATGTAAATTTTACAATGAGAAATTGAAAGTATAAAGAGCTGCTAAAGGGAGCTCAATGTAGAGAGGTCTGGGGGAATGCCCCAGGAAAATTAATATAATAATATAATAAGTTGCTATATAAGTCAAATACACGCCTGTGTATAAGAATTTATTGTACTTCGTTAACACTAGAATTACTAACGGAGCCCGTAGCCAATCGGATTCTTAAAAACATTTTTTTGAACTATTTATAAACCAAATTACTTGTAGATATATGACTTTGCTGGTTACAGGATCCCTAATAACATGTGAATCACACAAAGTATTTACATGAAAATATTATCAATACTGCAAATAATATCAGTAATTACTGGTGCAGTCCACTGTGTATTTTACATGTAAAAAACAGTGACGTCACACAATTTCTTTCGGTCATTCTTTACATTGAGTTTTGTAACATGCAAAAACATAAAACTACTCAATATGCAGACTCCACACGTTGTTAAAACAAATTGGTTAATTGAGAATTCAAAACATAAAATATAAAAAGGCTGCTAAAAGTTATCTAACTTGAATACCTAAAAGAACCACTATGAAATAATATGAGAGCTTATGAACTTGAAGAGCCGGCGTAAAAAAAAATCCCGAATGTTGTAAAATGAATTGCTTATTAATGAAATACTAGGAAAAAACTTGTTCTTCGGGTACGGTATATGTGCTCAAATTAGTTGACTACTGGA